GTCGTTTTTACTCTGATTCAACACCTATATCGTTTAACCTACAAAGTAAATTATTCTAATTTATTGTTTTACGATTCAACACTTCCTTACGTAATCTGACGCAATATTTTGCACACTGAATGAATTTTCTGGATCCGAGGGAGCAAGAGTATACCCTTTTAGAAACTTGACATAGATTCTTAATAGCAGAACATAAACGAGAAAGAGTTCTTTTTTCCAGGTATATGAAAATTCGACCCTCAAAAATTCTCACGCTGCAATGACACTTTAGAATCATATAAAATATCAGGAAAACATAAGCGAGCCAATACCAATGGTTTGTTTTATAATTATATATTCTCTTACACAATGTGATGTAATATTTTGTCAACTGTATGAATTTTCTAGATTTGGGGGAAAAGGAATACACCCCTTTAGAAACTTGTGACAGATTCTTAATAGGAAAACATAAACGAGCAGGAGTTCTTTTTCCAGCTACATGAAAATTCGACCCTGAATCATCCCCACGCTCAGACCACACTTTCAAATTAGGTGGAATGCCTGGTGTTGTTACCCTTACTCGACATCTATATTGTTTATCCTAAAAAGTAAATTATTCTAATTCATTGTTTTACAATTCAATACTTCTTTGCGTAATCTGACTCGATATTTTGCATACTGAATGAATTTTCTAGATCAAAGAGAGCAAGAATATACCCTTTTAGAAACTTGTCGCAGATTCTTAATAAGAGAACATAAACGGGCAAGAGTTCTTTTGCACAGGTATATGAAAATTTGACCCTGAAAAATTCTCACGCATCGACGACAATTTCCAAACAGGTACATTCCTGCTCTCGCCAGAGCGACCATTGGTTCAAAAGTACACGGGAGCAAGGAAACTCTTCCACTCACAATGCTCGGGCCGCCTCGACTTTCGAGCTATGGTCATTATTGGCGCGCGGCAATCACAAAGGACGGAAGCGAGGCCGAATGCGACGGCATAAGGCGGAATTATAGAGAATTTTGTTTTCTATCGTTACGTCTCATTTCATCGTATTCGGTCTCGCTTTCATTCTGTGTTATTGCAGCGCCAATAATGATCATGCGTCGAAAGCCGAGGCGGCACGTGCATCGTGAGTGGAAGAGTTTCCTTACCCCTTCTGTGCACTTTTAAACCTGAAGGCCTGCATACACGCTAAAACATGTAGCGATGCAAGCATTGCTACTAGCGATGGGTCTGAGCCTTTTCGACTTTTTGTTCAAGTGCAACATGTATTATGAAACTTTGAAAGACTCAAACCCATCACTTGTAGAGATGCCTGCATCGCTGCAGATTTCAACGTGCATGGGGACAGTAACACATTGTTGACCGGTCACGAGTTAACTCGTGTTTGGACTTGCATTAGCTATTTCAATTTTTGAAACATAGGACAATATAAGATATCGTAAAAACAAAATATTCGAAGTTATATAACAGGTACGTCCAAAGTTTCATTTCAATTCATTATGTATAAGATAAATAAAGTATACTGAAGTTTTATTTAGATCGTTTCACTTTCGTATTTAACGCTAGGTTTACGGAACGTATCAATTTGACGCACATTCAATTTTATAAACATTATTTAGTAAATGTTTCGACGGGTTTGAATATGTATTCTAATTATCCATTTTTAAATTTATAATTTTCAAAATCTAATTAAACGAATATCAACTTTTCTAGAAACAATAGATAAACTGTACAATGAATACTGGTAAACCTAGTGTTAATTACGGAATAACCGGTGACATTAAATAGCTTCTGCGTAAAATTGCCGGTTAACAATGTGTTAATACGTTCGCTATCAGCGTCACATATTTGTGACGGGTACAAGCTTATATTTTACATAAAGCAAGTGAAAATAATCTTATAGATATTGTTCTTTAAAGTTATAAGCTACGGTATTATATTTAAGAACTCAATAACTTGTTCCAGTTACATTATTTCGATATATTATTTAGACGATTTATTTATTTCCTCCCATAAACGCTGGTAGCGAACGTGTTAAGGTCGTTCTGGCTAACGCGGTGGCAGGACTGTAAGATACCAGGTGTTTTTACTGATTCAGCACCCATATTGTTGGTCTTAAATTATTCCTTTCTTTCATAATTCTATATTTTCTCATACAATCCGAAATTTGTTATAGATTCTTAATAGAAGAACATGAGCGAGCAAGAGTTCTTTTTTTCAGGTATATGAGAACTCCAACCCTCAAAAATTCTCATGCTTCGATGACACTTTTCAATTAAGTAGAATACCAGGTCTTTGATGTAATATTTTGTATACTGTATAAATTGTCTAGGTCTAAGGCAGAAGGAATACACCCTTTTAGAAACTTGTCACAGATTCTTAATAGGAGAACATGAACGAACAAGAGCTCTTTTTCCCAGGTACATGAAAACTCGACCCTCAATAATTCGCACGCTTCGATAACACTTTATAATTACAAGTAGAATACCAGGTTCTTTCATATACTGTGAACCACTTATATCGTTTATCCTGATAAGTAAGCTAATCCAATTAATGTTTTACAACTTCTGTATTTGCGAATTTAATGCAGTATTTCGTGTACTGTATGAATTTTCTAGATATAAGGTAGAAGGAATACACACTTTTAGAAATTTGGCACAGACTCTTAATAGGAGAACATAAACGAGCAAGAGCTTTTCTTTCAGGTACATGAAAATTCGATCCTCAAAAATTCTCACGCTGCGACATTTTCCAAACAGGTACTTGCAGTATTGTTTCCAGGTTTATAGTGCTGACCATAGGTTTAAAAGTGCACAGATGGTAGGATTAAACTGCTCGCTCCACCTTTACTCGTGGCTCGGCCAATAACAAGGACGTGCAGAAACCAACCCTCCATAAGCACCAACCAAGCGCTACGAGTGGATATCCCCTCTTACCATTGTGCACCTTTAACCCTTTGAACTCTGTAGGCTCAAATATTGCACCAGTTATAATATTAAATATTTTAATGAATCTTAAAGAAACCACCTTAAAATTATTCGATTTTCCACACATCCAAATTTTCTACTAAGAAGGAAAATAAAAAATCGAAGAAATGTTATAGCATTTCTCATTTTCGCTAGAAATACTATAAAAATTAGTTGCAGTTGCTGATAGATTACAAAACAACCTGAATTGTTGAGGGTTAAACCTACTGTCGCTGCTATAAACCTGGAAGTTTCAGTGTAGATTACCAGGTATTTTTACTCGAATTCAATATTTATGTTGTTTATCCGAAAAAATGGATTATTCAAATTTATTGTTTTACAACTTCTGTATTCCTTTGCATAATCTGTTCCAATATTTTGTATCTTAAATGAATTTTCTAGATCTAAGGGAGCAAAAATATACCCCCTTAGAAATTCGCCACAGATTCCCAGTAGGAAAACATAAACGAGCAAGAGTACCTTTTTTCCAGGTATGTGAAAATTCTACCTTCAAAAGTTCTTACGGTTCAATGCCAATTTGCCTACAAGTAGAATACTAAGCGTTTTTAGTGTGGCTTAACACTTATATTGTTTATCCCAAAAAACAAATTACTTCTATTGTTTGTTTTATAATTTTATATTCCCTTATACAATGTGACGCAATGTTTTGTAGTCTGAAGGCATTTTCTAGATCTAAGGCCGCAAGAGTATATCCTTTTAGAAACTCGCCACAGATTTCCAATAGGAAAACATAAACGAGCAAGAGTACTTTTCCTTTCAGGTATATGAAAATTCGACCCCCAAAAGTTCCCACGCTTCGATCACACTTTTAAATTAGGTACAACGCCTGGTGTTGTTACTCTTATTCGACACGTATATATTGTTTATCCTAAAAAATAAATTATTCCATTTTATTGTTTTACTTTCCAATTTATTTTTATGTTCAATATATTATACACTGGTGGATTTTCTAGGTCTATGACAGAAGGAATACACCCTTTTCGAAACCTGTCACAGATTCTTAATAGGAAAACATAAACAAACAAGAGGTCTTTTTTCCAGGTATATGAAAATTCGACCCTCAAAAATTCCCACGCTCCGATGTCATTTTATAATCGGATATTTAGAATACCAGGTGCTTTTACTGTGACTGGACATCTACATTGTCTATCTTAAAAATCTAAGTTTCTGAAATAAATGCAGAACCAAAATACAGAATCGAAAAATAACAATTATAAAAACTTTACCGTGAGTAATGAAAACTAAGTTACCTTCATACGTGTTTTTATTTAACATATAGGATGTTGACGAGATTTTCTCTTTAAATTTTATTGATATTTTATGGAAAGTACATATTATCTATTATATTATATTATTTTATATTATACTATATTATATTATTCTATATTATATTACATTATATAATATTACATTTATTCATTATTAAATAAAATATACTTAATAAAATACCGTCGTTATATATAGAAGTTACCATTGAAAGAAACGCCTATACTCCGAACGTCTATCAAGGGTTAAATTTCTTTCATCCACTTCCACACACCTCGCTCACCTTTTCTAAGCCTAGAAACATGGCCAATCCTCTAATTACGCCACCTTGACAGTGGCCAGCTCGAAATAAACCGAACGGTGTTTATTATTCTACGAACGGTCCCATCAATATCGCGGTTCTCGAATCGGCGGCGTTCACCTGGATGACCAGGCACGTTTTACTTTCGCGGCACCGAACACTGCGTTCGGTTGCAGGAAATGGTGCGCGGAATGCCGAAGCCTGCCCGCGCGCGCACGCGATGGGAGTCGAAGAAAGACCGTTGGAAATGTTTCCTTGGTCGGGAGAGGCACGAGCCGGCGCTCTCTCGTCCTTTCTTCTTTTTCTCTCCCGCCGTATCGTGAAACGGCGACTAGATTGCCTTGGCCAAGCAGGAAAACAGTCTGATCTCATCTTGTAAATATGAACGTTCCTCCCTTGTTAACCTGCCGAGCCGACAGCGACGTCGAATGCCGGGAATTTCTATGGAAATGCTGTGGACAGGCCCACTGATTATCCGTTTACAATTGAGGGCGTCGCACAGTGGTCCGTTTCGGCAATCCAGCCGAACGAATGTCCCAATTTATATATAACGCGTCGAAATGAAGGAAAAGCACCTTTTTGTTAAGAAACTGTTCGTAATATATAATGAGAATGAAATTGTTAATAAGTTCATTGTACGGTTTAATTTGTTTAATTTAATAAAAAAATGTAAGTAAAAGGATTGCAAAGTTTCTAAGATCTTTTAAACATTTTTAAAAACTACGCACGTACTTTTACATTTGTTTGCAACTCGATGATAGACAATATTATTTTAAATCAGGATTGTTTATTAGATCTAAAACTTTATGTCAAAAAGCGTTTATTCACAGATATTTGGAACATCGATGTTTAATTGAAAAATATTTCTATCGCAAAGAAATCACATGATTTCATATCTTTTAAATATATTGCTTTGTAAAGAATGCTTTGATAATGAGAATCAATGGAAAAAATTTGCTACGTAGAACACAGATTGAAGAGATAAAACATTCTTCCGACATGGTGTCTCGCGAGATTCAAACTAGATTTACGCATTATCTTATGTAAATACGATCACACTGAATATTTATTACCACTGTTAGTCAAAAAAAGGAAAGATACTAAAATAAAAAACCTTTTCCCAGTCTGAAATTTGACTGTTGAATGTTTGAAACGTGTTTCCGCAACATCCAGCACATCGACTTCATCATTTCGCAATTACATGGGAATATCAGCAGTCTCCAAACGAAACATCGACATTAACCGCCATGAGATACACCAGAGACCGCAGTTCAAAACACTATAAACTCATACGCAGCAATTGAAACGGCGTACAGAAACATTTTCAAGATTTCACCCGGGTGAAATTATTTGGTCATTGACCCTAGTGATGCGAAATAGAAAGATATGCGTGTCGTTGAACCTCTGAGCAAGAATTATGTCATGCCTTCGCTTTGGTCACTCGGACATGCTCATCAAAAGAATAGATGATAATAATTACAATAATTAATCTATTTGTCTATTTATCCAGTTATCTAATAACTTATCTCTTTATCTGTTTGTCTACTCCTCTTTTTATCAACTGAACAATTTATCCGTTCTTTTATTTACGGAGAGAAGTCCATAAATACAAATCAATAAAAATGGAATATTCTAACGAGAAGTACCTAAACAATGTATAGAACATTCGTAATTAATTGGTAAGTAATAAAATAATAGAAATAGTCAGCAAGTTAATCATTGAGTTGGTATCGTAAATCTTAAGTTACACTGTTATTTAGTTCTGTTACAAAATATTTTGATTTGACACCGATTTTCTTCTAGCACTTGTTTTTAACCCACCTGCATCATTAAGCGGAATAATCTGCACACAATAACTTTTAGTTGTCTACGTGTTACTCGACTATATCGGTCGGAGCAGATTAATTTCAAACGAAAGCTTAGAAGACTTTCAGTTGAGCATCTCTGATTTATAAAGTAAGCTTCACATTTAGAGCAAAGATGCAAATGGGTTGACACTAAAACTATCAGACGGGTCAAGCTAACCCATTTCAGAATTCTAATTTTAAAAGAGTTTCAATTAATCAAGGCATTCCCGCGACAGATTTTCAATTAAACTTTTGTATTTGCACAGATGCAAGACTAGTGGACCGTTCAAATCTCAAGAAACATATTGTCCTAATTTTTATAAAAAAATTGGAAATAAGTCACTCTAATTGCTCAGTAATTTTATTATTAAACAATTTGGATGTTCCGGTTATCGGTGACTACCGCAACAGTCAACGTATAAAACGAGTATGTTTAGAATTGCTAGAACAGAAGAAGTTCCGAAACAAAATTTTGGCGAGTCGAAGGTGAGCCAAAAACTGTTCCCGACGTAATCGCCAGGTTGACCGACGCGTATGGAGACAGGCGGAATAAACGTTGTAATGCAAAGTGTAACCGCAGAAAAAATTCGACCCGATAACCGCAGGAATATCAATGAGCCGGTCGCATTCTCTGGTTACAAATGGCGGTTGCGACACGGGAGAAACGTAATTTGGGTTGCGCGAGACTGCTGAAACAAGCAATCCTACCGGGCTGTTTATTTCGACCATACCCGTCGTAATGAATGTTCGCCATTAGCGGCCGCTGCGCGTCTGAAAATTGCTACCGTTGACTTTATCGTTGCAGACGATGAAACGTTCTTATCGTTTGTGCCACGCGCTCGAATTATGTCCGCGGGAATCATCGAAATGTCGAGAATTAATCTTTACTTTGAATGAAACAACGATGGAGGAATCGATTGCGGTGATTTGTTTTTACTTATACGAATGAAATTAACGACAGAGAAATACTTTAACACCCGTGGGAACAGCGCTCGCGATCTCGAGAGTATGGACCACACCTTTAATCGTCTGTGATACGGTGATTTCGGTATCGATCCTCTACATTCACAGTGCCTATTTCACAGAACGCGATACGTATCTTGAATTATTTATGGTAGGAAGTATAACTGAACCGATAAACGCAGGTTTTCTATAGAGTTACTCCCACTCGTATTCGCACACTGCGCAAGTGTTGCAGAGAAATTGAGAAGAAATTGACTTTTGGATAAATATTTAAAATTTTGTTTTATTTGAAACGAAAATTTATTTAAATTAATTTTTGTTAATATTAAATTCATAATAATTTAATTTGATTAATATTCTATGTATAATAAATTATAATTTATAATAATTATAATAAATTTATATTTATTTAAAACTAATTTTTAATATTTGTTGTATTGTTATATTGTTGTAGTGTTTTATTCTCTTGTCGAAATGCTACTTTAACCCGTTGCCCTATGATCTATTTCACAACTTTGATTGATGAAACTACTTTATCGTTAACAATTTCTTAGAAAAGAAAATAATTTGATGCTTATTTTATGTCTACGTTTATCTGAGAGGTTAACCACAGATAATAAAAAATTAATGTTTAATCTATATTCAAAAAGAGTAAACAACATTTAGATTCGCTAAATTCAATTGAAAATCTTCAGTACGAAAATTTGAATATTATCAATAAGGTTACGAATAAAAAAAAAATAAATTTAAGAATGAAACAAAATGTACAAATGTACAACAATGCTGATCAGATAACGAAGCCAAGCATAAAGCTTGTATACTTCGAAAGTGACTATTGTATAACAGTCTTAAAGTAATGGAAGCACTTCTATAATCTAGATATCTTCATTAAAAAGTTATGAGCAGAATTAAAAACCGGAATTCACAAAGAAGAAACAATGTGTATCAGCTAAAAGAAAAATTAGATATGAAGTGAAAGAATCACGGTGATGCAATAAAGAAAAATTTGGTTTAAACTGTGTTGATTAGGTTACTGAAAATAATCAGATAGATAAAGCCGTTATGCAATAAAATGTTAATTCGTCTATTTTACAGTTGCATTCTTTTTGTATTTTTTATATTTCCAAACACTGGGAAATAGAACGTTTTACATAATAGTATGGCAAAAATATTGAATTTACGATAAAAATAATAAAAAAAATTTAGTATGAAATTATGATTTGAATTTAATGTAATTATTAGTAAATATTTTGTCCAAAGTACTTTTGTTTATAAAATAGCATTAAACTTGAAACACCTTCGACAGGATTTGCACAGTAATACAAAGATAAATGATCTCGCGGGTCATCAATTTTATCATATCATTTGGTAATTACGAATTACTAATGATGGGGAATCATATTAATTCCGAATTTGTTTTTTTAATGATCCATATAAATCATCCTCTAAATTTAAAGCAGAATTAAAACAGAGATTTGTTGCATCTTTAATTTTGTAATGCGTTTGCTGTGTGATTTGAGTCGCGATTATATAGAAATATTAAATTTAGTTTAACGCATTCACGACCGTTGACGTGAACTCACGTATTTTCAAACAGAATAACTTCCAAATATCTTATTCTTCTGTTATTTTCCATTTGCGACTTTCTTAACGGAAAGTTCTTCATTTCAAACAATAGATCGTTACAAGACTAATGTATCAAGACAAATTTTATAATTTTTATTCGTGTTTCAACGTCAGAAATTTTCGTTCATATTTCCTTCACTTTCACCGGCGATGAGTATTATAAAAGCGAAAAATTTGCCGCTCGCGGATGTGTTAAGAAACATCACATTTCCGAAAACATCTGGAAGATGTTGTAAAACACATTTATATGTTTATTGATTCGTATAACCATATATTTGACACAATAGAACAAAATACCAAACGCTCTAAAGTAGAGCTATAAAGAGAACTATAAACCAATTTACCTCTACGAATTCAGCGCTGAAAGATTCCATTGTAATAAATCCTGTTAATTTTTGCCTTGGCAAATTAAATAACTCGTTCTCGCTCTGGTATTAATATTTTGTTACGAATGATAATTACCTTTACTAGAACTAGCCTGTCACTAATGATTTGCTAGAAAAGGAAATATTCTATGTAAGAACTAAGAATTCTCTAAAAATTAAATATTGATAACAGAAGAATAATATTTCACTTTCGGTTAAAAGAATTGAACGGTATTCAAACTGATGCAGTCTGTTTTAAATCTTTGTTACAAGTCTAACACGATACATTGTAAAGCAAAAGCTTAAAATTCGCTTTTTCAAAGTTTTTTTAAGCATTCACTTAGTTGTCAGGTTATTTATATTCTCTTTTAATCCTTTAACTGCGGTGCATTTTACTGAAAAACTGTCGACATTATACTGAAACATGTTGTTATATTTACTCTCCGAATCCGAAACGCGTTGTTAGGATGAAAACAAGTTTGGTACAGTGACGTAATAGGTTTTTATGTAACATATAAATACATATCCACTATTCTATCAGTTTAGTAAAATAAACGTTTGAAGTCGAACAAAATATATGGAATATATGGTCACGGATATACAGAGTGTCATTTCAATTTATAAATCTAATTATTTTTGATACTATTCGTTCTTTAAAAAATGTCAAAAAGCAATTTTTTCTGTTTTGAGAGGTCAATAACTCGGCACATTTATTTTGCCTTCAGGTGAACGTGTGTAGACGATATGAAGGTCGCTACTATTTTTTCAGGTGTAATCATTACTTTTCCATCAATCGATAAAGTAGGTCATTTTCCACAAAAATATGTTAATCAATCTACTTAGAAAACCCATCGAAATATAAACCATTACATTTGACATTCTTTTAAAATAACGAATAGCTTCTAAAATAATTTCATTTATGGATTCAAATAGGCCACCTTATATGTGCGCCTTTCAGATTGTTAATCATTCCACAGCTGTACTTTCAAATCCAACCTTAGCAGATTTAGCAGAACTTACAGTTCTTCTTTTATCTAATGACAATGTTTTTATAATTATCTGATAACATTTTTTTATATTTCATAGTTTTAAGAATTTTGTATACAAATAGAATGTCGAGAAGCATTCGACACGTAGTGTTTTATGCTATTCATTACCATACGAATCACAAAGAATAGTAAAAGATAAAAAACCTGTTCCGTGAAATGTCCTAAACACCGATGCAGTTAGAAACAAAATGTTAAATGTAGATACTGATTATTCTTTTACAAAAAATAAGTTAACGTAGGCGTTAATATACCTCAAATAACGTCTTTATTTATTAGTATTTTTTAAACTAATTAGTATGTTTCGCCGAAATGTTTCTTAATGTAGAGTGTACGTCGAGGCGATAAACATATTTTTTCAGAATTTTTTCTAAAACAATTACAAGTGGAAAAACAAATATTATTTAATAGACAAGCACTTTACGCTGAGCAATTATCTTTTACGATCTTGTAGGTATGTCTATGTCAAGTTATAGCCCAAGAACAGTCATCGAGGGACGAGAGACAAGTGTACGGACCTATTAACTGAACTGGGCTGATCATATGTTAAAAAAAAGTTTACAGTCAAAGAAAATTATATTGCTCGGAGGTTGTTTCTGGCCGATTATAAGTAAAAGCTTCAGTTTCCTTAAAATATTGATTTGAAAGAAAATAATTATTCTCAGATGTTCTCATAATATTATTTTCTTAAAATCTTCTTCCCAGTCATTTATCAAAATTGATTAAAATAGAATTCCGAAACTATAACACGCACTGTCTACGCTCGAATAATATTCGTTTCTTTCATTCGTAAATGATTTAATAAAATTGGGAAAAACATTTAATAAAAATACTAATTTCAAGAATAGTAATAAGAAATAAGTAATTTGAGTTATATTAACGTCATGTACTAAACTTTAAAAATTTTCTTGATATCTCTATATTTTTTATAAAAGGTCCAACAATCTTTTCTTATGTAACATGTCTGACAGTAAGCGATATTTTCACTCCGTGAATATAAATATAGGTAGCTATAAAAAATACGTGTCTATAGTATTGTGATATTTTGAGTGAATAAAAGTATTCATACACTATCAGATTTGATATTAAGAATTTGATAATAAACAAGATTGAACAGTAGACCTCCATGCTTGCTGCTGACTCGGTGAATGAATTTTCTTTTGGTATATCGTAAATCAACGAGTTATTACGCTATTCCGTATTCCTATTCAAATTAGTTAGCAAATTACGAAATATAAATATTGTTGATTTTATTTTTTTACGGTGGACATTATAATAAATCATTCACTTACCAATTATAACTATCCTCCTTACTATTTTCTAACTATCTAAACACAATTGTACAGCATTGGATATATAGGGTAGACCAATAATTTTTACCTCCAGGAATATTTCTACTGTTTGTAAAAATATAAAAAAATAAACTTTATTTACGGAAGTTGTACGATACCGAGAAGATCCAGTAACAATTCTTATACGCGTGAGGGTGAATAGAAAATTTACTTTCTTTTTAAATGGTACAGTATACCTACATTTCCAACTCTATTAGAATAATAAATGTTTAGGCGATTTCAATGACGTATAGTAAGAGGCTAATTGGTACTAAATAAAGCGAGAATAAAATAATGATTCTTCCTTCATAAGAAGTGTTAAAGGTTTTTACGTCCACGCGAAATTACAATCGTCGAACAGCTTAAACTCCTTTATGATGAAAGGATTTTCTCCTTTATTAAATATCAAATAACTAATTGTAAATCCAAAAAATGATGTCATTTCAAAAAATAAGGATGACCTTGAAACATTTCCAAAATCTCTCAAACTCACAATTCACAAAAAATTATTACTAAGGTATTATAGTACTCTAGGTACTATATAATATCTGTAAATTCATTTAGAAATAACAGACATCCTAGGTGGTCGTAGTTATTGCTTCATCTTTATACGAGCTACGCTTACATTTCATAGTACATACTTAGACTTGACATTAAATAATGACATACATGAAACATTGGTTCAGTTATACCCTTTACAGTACTTTATATTTCACATGCAATAGCAGTGACCTCTGAACTATTGCCCTGTGAAAGACAGAATGAAAAAAGTACAAAAAAAAAAGTTAAGTATCGTTGTTCTTAGAGGGTGAAAAATATGAAATAACGTGATGTTATAATGTTCAGTTTATCATTTTTATTATTAATTTTGTTCTTTCAATAAATATTTTGTGTATATAGAGTAGCAAATGGTAAGTTAATGATTTTTCAGTGTTATTTTATCTTTTCGAGTATTGTTAACCGCAGAACGCAATCAGTGGACGAAAAAATTTATTCAAGTTATGGTGTCGCGACCTCCTTCGCGCGGCACCGTTTGTTCCTTGTGTGTACGAGTAAATATGGAGGCTAAATGGGAATTTTTCGTCCTTCTATTAAATACATTGCTGTCACGGAGTGCAGATACCCTTCTATCGTGTAAATACACGAGCAACAGGGTCGCGGCGAGGTGAAACGGAAATACGAAGTTAAAATTAGGTTATACTTTTGTTCCTTGTATTCTCTTTCTCATGTATTCGACTTAATAAATATTCAATCACGTTTACTTAATGCGTAGGTTGCGGATCTTTGTGCACTTGTTGGAAATTTGAATCTAGAACACGTAATAAAATGGAAATGTTTAAAATAATTAACACACATTGCGTCTCTTTAACTATCACGCAAAATTCATTCATATAAAGTAGAGCATTTTCATGTTTTAAGGTGTGTTCATAGATATTAGAAAGAAAATCTGTACATGCATTAGAAATGTAAGCATCAAGATAAAAAGTAATTAACATTAATTTGGTGTTAATCTGGTAAAGAAATCTGACAAACCTGATGTGTATAAATAAGTCTAATTTTAAATGTTTGATTTTTATCTTTATGATGTCTTTAGTGTTCATACGTTTATCTCTTTATTGCTTCTCAAAATATGTTAACATATATTAAGCAAAAATACACAGAAATACATAATATTTGTTAATATTTGTATCATTTAAAAAAAAATTGAATTAAAATTTGTAGATTATCAAATTAATTATGAGTCACTAAAATGGAATTGTTAAATCAATAAAACTTCATTGCACTTAATGCAGTAGATTATTATTTTACATGAAGTTTTATATTTGTTTTGAAAGAACTTAAATCTTTACATTGTTTACCCATTTCCTGTACGCTATCATTATCCGATTTACTTCCAATTAAACAAAAGATTTAAAAACATTATGATCTTAAAATATATTGATACTTTATCAAATTGTTTGTTTATTAATAGAATCAATAGCTGAAATGTATGAAATGTATGAAATATACTACTATTATGATTAAAAAAACCCTTAGGGAAAAAATTATCAAGTAACAAGATGTAATAAAGTGAAATATTTTATTGTCTGATTTTATTATTATGGGTCAAACTTAACCCAGCCTTATCTTTTATCTATCTTTCAAACTTACCATCACCCGACAGAAAATTTATGATATTTCCAACTTTATGGAATGACGGACGAAGAAAATCAAAAATGTTAATCTGTAAGAATTGTAATAAAAACATCTGTAATCCAGTTAATCGAATTTGAAGAAAAATCGGTGCCGATCCGGATAACTTGGCAATATGGTCTTTTTCTTTTACACTAATAAAACAAATAACAAAAAAATACGTCTGCTGCCCGTTCTTCTAATAATACAAAGTTCACCGATGAGAAATGCTTTTATCAAGCTATATGTTACATCGGATAGGTGTTCTATCATGGAACGCCTGTGTTCCTTTCACTAAAGTGGTTCTCAATTGCAAGAGGAAACGGGCCATCGCTCTTTGAAATGATTCTTTACACGGTTCGAGAACCTCGCCTTGTGATATACTTTTATCATGACGTAATACACCTGTGCTGTGTATACCTCTCTGGAATGTAAGCGACAATGGACTTACCCAAGCGGTTTTGACGCTTTGCATTTAGAATGATCTCCCCCAGATAGCAGATACACTTCCCCGCGAAAGATACGCCGATTTCATTTACGGTCCTCATATTTGTCAAGTAAACACTGCCAACATGAAAGTAAAACATAAAAAAAAGGTACCGATTATTAGTATACCCAGGTCTTTTATACAAATTTATATTTTTTCATCTATATTTAAAACAATTAGTGTTAAATAAAAATTGATTTTTACTATTAAGGATTTCGAAACAACATAAACACATTATAAAACTTAGCCTGAGTTACTTGTTTAATGTGCGATGTGCAATGTAATATAATCTATGTGATTAATGTTATTAATACTATTCAATAAATTTCCAATTGTTTATTATATTCTCCAACAATTAGGTTAATCACGTAGAACTTTGTAGGTTAAATGTGAATCTAATTCCATCACCTTCGATTTTGAAAAAGAAATTAAATTCTCAACTTTAAAATAATATTCAAACATATTCAAAGAAATTAGTATGTAAATCTTTTAGATTAAAATTTGTGTATCGAATAATACAATTACATACAGTGAATTGTATGCATTCATAATATATTTTGAGTGATGTTAGTTTTTGTAGAAAAATATAAAATTATGTAAATCTAAATCAGAAAAAGAAAATACAAGAATTTAAATTATAAATTGCTTTTTTGTAAAAAGATATAAAAAATGGGAAAAGATCCTGTAATCCTAATGACATGAAATCTATCTCATCTATTCACAATTTTTACATGAAACTTAGTAGATAAAATAAAACAACATGTCTGTTTTATCTGGTACTGTTAAACTTACCACTTTTTCCACGTTGAGTATAAATTTTTTGATTTGTATCGCAAAATAGATCTTAAGCCAGTATTATTACCTAATATTAATATAGGCTTGCTTTGCGCTCCATTTTCCGAAACTGGTACTATTTCGTTATAAATGATGGTTGCTTCAATGTCTTGTTGAAATTCAACATGGATTAAATATAATCTGTAAAAAAACAGTTAAACATCAAAATTTAAAAAAAGAAACTACTTTTTACAGTAAAATGTATAATCCTCACCTATGATATAACCCAGGATCATTAGTAATTAATTTTAAACAACCACCACCCTCGAAAGACAATCCGTCATGAAATTCAAAATAATTTAAGCCGAGTACGGGTAATTTATTTTCGATATTTACAGTATTTCCTAATATTCGAATAGTATTTATTGCAGTCTCGTAAATATATTCTCTTGGTGTCTGCGGAGATTTTTTTTCCTTATTTGCCGTATTCGATTCTAGTAGTTCTGGAGAACGAATGAATTTTAAATGTGGTATAGGTACAGAAATCTGAGGCTTCTGCATTGATAAATTGTAAAATGGTTTTTGTACAAAGACAGTTTTCCCTCTTATGACGAGCTTTTCCAATTGCATCTATAAAAGATTCATGTTATAGATATGCAAGTTTGCAATAACATATTTAATTATTTTATATTTAAATTTACCTCTCCACAGCGGTAATAAGCACTACCGTTGCCATGGCAGAACGACGTTTTGAACGTTTCATTTTCGTATATAAAAATGTGAACGTATAAATATGGGAAAAGTTGAGCCCAGAATGCGTTCTCTAATTCGTGGAATGCACTAGCTCTAAAAAACTCATGGGTCCATCCAGATGCAAAAATTGCAACGGACAAACCTTGTTCTCGAATTTGTTGTAGAGCCTATGATGCAGAATATTGCAAGTAAATTTTAGACTGTAACTTAAGAAAGACTGCATAAAAGTACACATAATATTACTGTAAACTATTACACTTACATATAATGAATTAAAACCACCACCTCCTGGACAACCTCTTCCCCAAACATCCAATCCCACATAAACATCGTGAATGCTTCGATTGTGATTTCTTGCAAGATTGCAGCTGTTCTCTAGCTTAGACTTGGTCCATGTATAATTTAGATAAATGCCATCACAAGATAAAAAGAAATCTCTGAAATATTGTATCTTAATTTAAGGAATATGCAAATTTATAAAGATGTAAATAATGTACTTACATGTTTTTATCATTTAGCTCATTCTGCCAGTTCAAATTTCCTTCTTTGGTTACACTATCATACCAAATAATTTCAGAACCTCTAATTTCTATATGAATGCGTTGTGTTAGATATTCCAGAAAATAAATTAAATTATTAATATGTTCGCGTTTTATTTTATTCTCAATGTTCAACAACCAGCCTTCAAATTTATAAAACTTTGCAACATGAATTAGAGCTTCTGCAAATTTTCTAGCTGTTTCTTGTGATTCAAGTACCGGTTCCAATATACCTTCTCTCTCTGTTATTACAGTACCAAGGATTTTCACTCCATGTTCATGTGCTGCATTGATCCATCCAAAAGGTGGTATAGTTATAAAGTGATGACTGAAGTAGACAAATATATCGATAACACTCCAATGATAAAACAGATAAGATTTATGAGAATCTGTACCATTTATAAATCTAGAAAATCAATTATGTATAGTAAATAATGTAAAATGACATAATTTCAATGAATATTACCTGTCATCGATGTAACCACCTAACATATCATGGCAAAGCAATGTTTTAGGTTTTTCGCCTCTATCAAACTTGGTTAAATGTACATTTTGATTACTTATGTCAAGACCATGGTATACATAGTCTGTACATTCCCTTAATTCCTTAATTTGTGGCCATGGCTTTAAGTTATCCACATTATCATACAACTCTTGTAAACCTTTAAAAGGCTGTGATTCTATGACTGTATCGTCAATCATAGCTTATGTTTTGTTCTGGCTTACAATCTTTGAACTGATTTTCTACCAGAATGGATACACAAAGCATTTCACTCTTACTTATGTTGCTGGAAGAATTATGACAATAGACAATATCAACAGCTAGCATTTATATTAAATGACACTGATGTATCACTACATACAAGTTTTTTATCGCATTATCTGGCAGCTGTTAACATGGATAACATAATGAGTATGTCCTAGTATTTATCTAGAAAAAAACAGATACGAAAATATTACGCATGACCAATACACAATTATGTAAATGATTATAATGAAATAATGAGTTATTAATATACATATACACTTGACACTTATACTAAAAACACTTACAGAATACATACTTTCCAATGTATGAGAATTGTGCCAAAATAGATTATTCGAAACAAACATATCAAACCAAATAGTGCTTAATGTAATATTTAAAGAAACAAACCTAATATTCGTTTACTGTTTGCTTAACCTTATTCTTTAGCACCTAACCTGTCGGTAAATTGCACACAGTCTGAATTTGTCATCTATCAACAGTACCAGGAGAACTAACGTCATTTAAATTTTTTAATCCCCTTCTCCTTTATTTTTTAATTTCTATTGAATCATATTATATGCAACTTTACCTAAATTATTTTTTAATAAATAAATTACATTAAATGTATAAAACTAAATAAATAAATTAATCGTACTTTATATTAACATAAAATATAAACTGTAAACTTATTTAATATTTTCAGTAAATAGGGTATTTTAATCCTGTCAAGAGTGAAGTTATGTCCTATATTCAAAATCTAAAGTTAATAATTTTAATAATTACTGCGTAACATATTCAGTGTTCCAATAAATAATCATGTATTGTCAAATTTAATATTTCTTTCATAACAAATCAAAAGACTGTACTGTTTTATTAACGCGTTGAATGCCATGGGGGTCACCGGTGACTTCCGGCCAAATTCAATTGCTGCAATTTTCTCAATTCAACAACGATTATTTGAAAACATTTAATGAAATAATTTAATGTCGTATCTTTTTCATTTCGCATATTCTGCATGTTAAAATCATGCGGCATACAACGTGTTAATATAGTGGAGTCTCGGTTATCCGTATCTTGTTTAAAAGTTTCGTATTTTCCGAAATGCTTTGAACATTATACCTACCGATATGTATTCATTTTTAAGACATTCACGTTTGCAGAGCAACGTGTAAGAACAGTAAATCTACGTTTAAACAAAGAAATATAACTTGATTTTTTAAAAAGCGAACTAAATACTTCTGTACTTAATTAAACTTAAATATTCTGTATTATATTATCAACATGTTTTTTATGAGTTCAGATAGTTGGACGAATTATTGGTACGATATTTGGAAAAATAAACGAACATTTTAAAGCTGCCAACGAAGTATCATGGCGGTACCGTAATGGTGTAGGGTGCATTTTGTGGATGCGTTAAGGCACCTTCAGTTTTTATATCACCAGAATAAATTACTTTCTCTTTATTACTAGTCTCTATAATTTAGTCCATAAAAATTTGCCTGCCAACAGTTTAACGATAATTTTGATGATAATCTTTTACATTCATCGTATTTTTAGCTACGTGAAAGTTAATAGAGTACCGCGAAGGGTAACACTTTATATACACAGCAGAAGCTAATTTATTCTGAATATATAAAGAGGTAGTAAAATAACGAACAAACAGAATAAAAATGTTGAGGTATCGTAAGATCTTCCTTTATTTAGTGTACACAACCATGTTCAAGAAGGTGATTTCCCACGGGTACGCAGGGGAGACGTAACAGTTTGTGGGATTGGAAGACGTACGAGATCGTCACGCAACTCTAAACATTAACGAAAAAAAAAGAAGTTTGAATTGCCATGGTGGTCCCGCGGGTATAGGTTTACCGAGCAAACTTGAAGTTTGTGGCAGTGGGTAAGGAGAATTGCTGGAGACACAGCTGGAGAGGATTAATGGTTGGGCTAGGGAGGAGTAGTTAAATGGGAAAATGTCCAGAGTGGGAAACAGTGTACGGAGTTAGGGAAAATTGACGGAAGATAAAATACAGAAAAGGTAAAACGATATTTCCATGGGACAAGAAGAACATTTATATCAATTGCGGACAATTGGCGGCTCCTTGACAGTGGGCTTCTTCTATCTTGCGCGTGCGCGTTACAGACTTCAACTCCGCTCGGTAAATCTATACATCGCTTTTTCTACTTGTATGTTTTCCCATTGCCCCCATCTCGAGTACCACGTTTCAACAGGGGAGATTTTCCAGCGCGCGAAACAACGCGCCGATTGTCTACGGTTCCTGTTCAAAAACCATGCAATTAAAAAATACTTGAATCTTTCACGCTTCCTACCTTTACTATCTGTGACGGAGGGGCATTACGCGTGCAAATCGCTTCGTCATAATATCGTTAAGCGGACCCCAAAAAAAAGTGGGATTTATAACGTCGTCCGACGATAAATTTACTCGTTGCAAGGGGCGAACCCGACACCGTCATTCGAAACTCTCCTCGTTCCCGCTCTATTCTAACCTTTAATTACAATATTCTCACGAATAGGATCGTTATCTTTCCTCTAGATATTGTAAAACCTTTAGACAAAGTTACTTTTTGGATGTATATATATATATATATGTGTGTGTGTGTGTGTATGTATGTATATATATATCACATTGGATCGCTATCTAACTACTCTAACTAAAAACAATTAATTTTTCTCGTCGCCGCAAAAGTATAATTACAATCGACCGTTCTTTTTGTGCCTCGATGCTACCATAGGTCGCTAATTATACGCATGTTCTCCACGTGGTTCACCCTAAAACTCCTAAAAGAATCTTTGTGAGGTGGTCCTCTCGCACCGACAATTTTCAAATCACTCGTTTCCCTTGTGTTCAAGGGAACATGATAAAAGTGTTCCTGTTTGATGCGAAGAAAGTACGTCAGGCGTTCTAGGGTCAAACGTTTCATGGTACAGCGGTTTGAAGATGGATCACTGCCGGAGACAGCTCATTTCCTTGATCTTAAGAGGTTCTATTGATTGTTATTGTGACAAGTTTCCCCGACGAAATTGCCCAGAACTCTTCGAAGAAGAATGCACGAAATCAGTGATTCTTTTCATCGTAATCCTTAACCCTTTGCCTTATCGTGTCGTGTTTGACTCGTGGCGAAGATTTCGAATAGAATTTAACGGATATAAATGTTACTCGATTCGTTTTGATTCAAATAGAATATTATTCTTCTGTTATCAGTTATTATACTTTACACTAGATTATGTATATTAAATTGCCGGATATTTCTACCGGAAAGTTCTGTCCTATAATGACATTTCAAGCTTCCAAAGATGAGTCAATTTACAGAAACGAAATCCACAAATTACCATCGCGCTGGGAAGAAATCATTAGTAACGATGGAAATTATATCGTTCAGTAAATATTAGTGAATGTATTATTTCGTTTCAATTCAGAAACGGACAGGACATTCTGGACCTAGGATTTTTCACTTTTTTGGGTAAATTAGTAATGTTAAAGTCGTTGTATTGATCATAGTTGAGAAAGAAATCGTAAGGCAAGGGGTTAATATATTTGTGTAGATAGCAATGAAATTGTTTCGTCCATCTTCCGATTACACTGCATTTCCGGAGTTTCAGAATCTCGTTGAAATAATAACGGAGAACAAAGGGCAGTTAATATTGATAAATAGACTGCGGATGTTGTGCATATGTATACAGTGTACACAGGTGTTTAAAGCGCAATGAAACGGTGAAACGAACGGAATTCGATAATATTTCTTGTATTTCGTGTTTACCCTGACAAAACCTTTAGGGAACAATGCAGTTTCCAAATTCGTTCTCATTCATGCAAATTGATCCCTAAACGTCTATATTTGCATAGAGATCCGCAGTCTCTTGGTAATATTTAAGTACTCTACTCCTAGTTACGATATTATTTCTCAATACTTGGTTCCTCGCGTAACGCACACCGTCATCCATAAGTCACCGGACATTCAATTGCTTGAAAAGAAAGTGGAGAAAATTAGAATAGAGTGTGTGTGACAGAAAATTGGCAATGTGAAAACTGAAGTTATTACACAATAACAATGGATAAAGAGAAACGCATTAATTAATAAATAAATGAGCTCATAAGTATTTAAAAAAAGAAATAAAACTAAGTGGAAACATTGACAGGACAGAAATAAAAAATTGTTAACGACTTAAAGTTTGACTTGAACTTTCTTTACAGTATGGAAATTAATATCGATTCTTTAATTTCATAGTTTAAGCGATTTCGTGCAATGAATTCGTTGTTATTCACAATTTATTAATGTCCAACGACTTATGAAGTTATGTGTATATAGGTACGTGTATACACGAATATATAATACATACATATGCATGTTATATTATGCAGGTTGAGTCATACGATGCGGAATGTCTCTGTTCCTTCTTTCATTAAAGTGTACAATTTATAGACTGCCGAAGTTATGGTAGTCAACATCTGTACAATCAAACGTAAAGTTTAATGAAAGGAAATTCAATTTTTTCAACAGTTTGAATGGAAAACAAAATGAAACTACTTTAACTATTATTGAAACTGATATTTTACAATTTGCTGAGAATTGTTATGTTGTTCAGATGCATAAATTTCGGCAGTCTAACAATATTTGTAGGGTGGGTAACATACATAGATTGATCACGTAGAATAAATTAGGAATAACACGTCACATGAAAAATTGTTACATACAAAAGTTATATAATTTCGAAGGGTACATTCAATAATTTATATGCTTCTTCTTGATTTAATGAAGCGTGTATTTCCTCTAATGTTATTATTTTAAGAGAAACGTATTAATTTTCGTTAATCCTAAATTTAATAATTAACAGCTTAAAACTTCATAATAACAAACAAAACATATCGCTTTATTCAAATCATTAACAGCATTTATATTAAGTTGATTTTGAAACTCAAAAATGTTTCCACGGAATTAAAAAATACATTTTTTATCTACTATATCCTTCGACATTGTGCAACTTTTAGGTATACAGGGCATTTCACAAAACCTATTAAAAGTTCAATTTAGTAACCTATTAACGACACTGAGGCGATTTCACCCTCCATTTTTCTTCAAAAAAATCTAATTTCACTTCAAGCGTGAACACGGTGGATAGTTGCAATTTTTTGAACGAAGTGTAAAGTGTATTTTTATATATTTACATGGCCTTCACTGCGTTGAATAATTTTTGCTTGAAACAATTTCCAAAGTTGCTTGTATAAAAAATTATAATATTTTAAATTATCTATTAGGATTATAACACATAAGTATTTACATAAGTATATAAGTTCATAAATATTTTTTATTATAATTACGTCTTAACGTCTCCGGTAAAGGAAGGGAGGAGAAGAAAGGTCAAAAGAACGATTTTTATAATCAATAGTCTTATTTAGTCCAATAAATATTTAAAATAAGGTCCTTTCATTTTTAAACATTTTTGGATGCACCTATCTACTTAAAAAAATATTACATTGTTGTAAACACTTCTTATTTGTCTTTTTTGTGTCTCCCCCAGTCTTAGAATGTATCGTTGTAACTTTGTTTTTCATTAAGCTCAGTAGAAAATGCTATGTACTTATTTATAACGTTAGAATGGTAGTAATGGAGTTTAAATTCATAGCTTCCGATGCATGCAAAATTTTGAGAAATATTTCAATCATAAATTAATTAGATCGGTAAGGACTATGTAAATATAACAAAATTTATTCTACCGTTTTTTCACACATGAAGCGGAACTAGATTTCTTAGTTAACATACTACGAAACAATTTTTCGTGCGATGAACTTTGCAGATAATCATCGACAACATTAATATGTTTCTAGATATTAATTTATAAAAGGTCTGGTAAAACACTTTGTACATGTAAGTATAATATAGTTAATTTTTCATACACCACTGTATTTATATATTATTTAAAGTGATCATGTTATGTTGTTCACCCAGTACACAGACAGTATTCCCACTCTATAAATATTAGATTACGAATAGTACGAGGAAATGTTTACTTCATGGAAATAAAAACTGAAACAGAATTTCAACTAAATTAGTTCAGAGATTTGTTAAATGAAAAATAAACCGAAAACTTCATTTATTTTTGTTTGAAGTTGCGTCTATTGTAACTGCATAGAATGTGTATAAATAATTCCTGAAATCAATGAAACAATCGTATTCAACGTATTTATAGAGGTAGAACACTATATAATTCAAGACATTATCCGGTAAGGACAGGACACTCTCAGGATAAACGTTTTTTAATAAAGATCCTAAATTGTAAAGGCTGGTGCGTATAAAAAATTTGAGAAATTGTAACTTCATGTAATCTACCATGTTTATAAAAAATAATTTTAAATGTTAAAATTTCAACGTCATTGGATCAAGTCAATTCTTGTGTGCAAACGAAAGCATAAGGTCTAACAAATAAAAAATGTTAGCAATTTTTTTAACAGAAAAGATTGACTAGATACAATCAACCCTTTGCACTCGAGAGACGACTCAGTCGCCACACGATTTAATATACCAAAATTCTAAAGTTTTTTATTTAATCTTAACACTAGATTTACGGACATTTACTGTACACTTTGTTCCATTGATTCTTGGACAATAGATGTTCGTTCATTTAAATCTTGAAAATTACAGATTTAAAAGTAGACAATTAGGATACATATTTGCGTAACTGCATCAATCAAAATCGACCCAAAAATTTACCAAATAATATTTCTCAAATTCCATACGAGTCAAATTATATAACTTGTTCCGTAAATCTAATGTTAAGCTTTATATAATGCATCAAGGTAATAAGTATCAAAATAAAATAGTATTGTTTCTCAATTTGTGTGTGATATCTCAATGAGTTATAAAACTGTCGTCTATCTCTAGTGAACAACTTCCAAGTGCAAAGAGTTAATGTTTCCACAGATCATTAATTACACGCACCAATCTCCACAATAGAAATATTATCCTGACAGCGACCCTCCATCGTGAAACGAAATTCGGCCGACGGAGCACGCTACGGACTCTCTTACGTATCTAAATCCCGTACACGTGGGGACAAGCATCGTTTTATCGAAAGAGATTCAATATTGCGTTTGGCGCTGTTCAAGTATCGTTAATACTTATCGTTAGATCGAAGTATGCTAACCGCCTTTGGTAAAAGTCTCGTATATCTTGGTGATATCTTTGTTCGTGATATGATGTTTGATTATATAAAAACCCCGAACCGTTACGTTCGCGAACAAATTCCAGATCGAAGTCTACGAGAACTACGATTTCACAGATTCGGTGCGCCCACTTTTTCTTTCCCATTGGGATCGGAAGTGAAACTTTGGTCGTGAACCCACGTAATTTTGATAAGATTAGAGCCATGAATCAGCTGAAGGTCACCAGGAGGATATGACTGTATCCCGATCTCAACACTTTGACCGCCATGTTAGTCGTGCATCGGCGACGCAGTTTCTGTCCTGATATTGGAATTCTGCATTAAATGAACATACTATTCAAATTTCGAAATAGTCAATTCAATTGTACTTGTAATGTTCATTAACACTAAACGTACCGGCATTTTGTATGTACCAATTCTTATCGTAACTAGATGACTGGTAACAAAATAAAAGTAAATAAGTTAGATGGTCAACTTTTCTTAGTGAAAATAGAAATAAAGGAAAAAAACGAAAATTGAAAAACTGATTAATGAGATGATATAGGCGTTAATGTAAAATTAAATGAACGAAAGAAAACCCAGACTTTAAAATCATATTTTGAAACTATTGAATTTATTAGAGTTGAAAAGTTGAAAACTACCGTAAAGAATATTATTAAAAACGTTGTTCGTTTCGTTAACATGATCAGCAACTATATTTATATTTTCTCAATCGGAAGCTACTATAAAACTGCAAAACTTTGAAATGTATAAACGATACTTTTAAATTTTTCAAGAATAAAAATATAAATTATACTAACGAAAAAGTACGACGTACATAATTAAAGATAATCAATACTACGACGCACTGCGTCAATATTGAAAGTCTCCAATGAATAGAGTGGAAACGGGAAACGGGCCACGGAACATATTAACGAAAGGTGAAACAAAGAGTAAAGTTAAATAGAATAAGTGAAAAATGATTTTAGCCCGATCATAATTTTAACCTCTCCAATACGAATTACAATATAAACCAATCAAAATCTCAATAAACCTTCTACTATCTGCATAAGAGTAAAAGTAAGCTAATTTGATTACTCAGTAGTATTAGTAGTATTAGTGTTGACCTTTAAGTATGGACGTGAACTTAACCTTCAAGTATGGAAGTCTGAGAGTGACCGATTAATGTTAAATACGCTCGTTTGTAGCAACTAATAGAAAATGTATTGTATTTATTTGTTTTTACTTATTTAAATACCTCTACATAACAATAATATCATCTATACCGAAGATTTCAGTGATTCTAAAGTTCACGATATTTTATGTAGAGGTCTGTGCGATCACACGTCCATATTTATAAGTTAAGAGCGCCGATTTAAGTAGCGGTCAACGTGTTGAATCACGAGGAAGGATACTGTAAGATTTATTTGTCACTTTCCACGACATGGATATTAATATAGCTCGGGGATGCGGGTTGCCTTATGCAGTTATACTTAGCTTCCGGTCTCCGATAGCCGGTCTATTAATTCATAGATTGTAGGCCGACGTCTACAGAATTGTTTGCTTTCCACGGAGCGGGGGATATTATAGAAAATACTGTTCGACTTGCGAGAGAATCGACATGGGTCGACGGTTTACGGTATACAATAATTTTTTTCGAAAGATTCGATTATTTCATCCTATGGGGTTTCTACATAGAAAACGCGAAGCCAAACTGGCCGGTGTGGTCTCATGCAATGACGATCGTCACGAAGATTCGCTGCGGGAAACACATAGTCTCTCCGTTGTCTTGTAAAGAAAGGGGAATCTCGAGTCTTACAGGGTAAGTACATTTGACCTGATAGGCCGAGTTCACATATTTCATTGCGAATATGTGTAGGCATCGTTAACCTTTCGACCGCCATCGACGTTCGTGAACGTTCAACGTTAACAACTGGATACAGTGTTTCGTCCACTAATAGTAGAACGGTTTTATTCAGAGTAATTCCGGTTTCCAGTTTAATTGTCTTGCATAAATAATTGATACAATAAAAATTACAGGCTGATGCTTTTCCATTTGTAATTGTAATTCTTGTTGATTATGTTGTAAGGAAGTAATTAAAGTTCATTTATAAATCAAATCTGATGATCTAATTCTTTTAGTTTTCACTTGAACAGGGTTTCAAGAAAATATGGCCATCTCCCTGGAATTACTCCATATAACAATTCTTTGCACTCGAAACGTTTTTTTCAGTGTAAATGTTCATCATTTTATCATGATATGTCGACGACTTTTTTACAGCTAATATAGAAAACAATCACATTGTATAAATGGAGAAACAGAACTATTTTAATACAGTATTTCATATATTAATACATAGTACAAAATGTAATACTAACTATCGAACTTTGTAAGTTTAATACGTTAAATTAAGTGATGGTTACTTTTCGAGTACAAAGAGTTAAATATTTTCTGTTTTATATATATATGTATAATGAACGCAAAATATTGAACGGAAAAGAGGCTCCTTTAATTTCATATAATCGATGAACCAAACTCGCGAAAGTAATGAACACTTTGCTATCGAGTGGCCAGCAGTCAGAGGGTTAACGAGTCGGTTAAGGAATCAATAAATTTTCTATCGACGTTAAATGAAATTCAAGACTTTCGTTAGCTCAGCGTTGCTGTCGATCGATATGAAAATAACGGAAACAATTAGGCCGCTTCCTTAACTTATATTCTATCTATTTACAATAAACGTTCTGATATGTTTCTAAATGTCGTATTCTAATTATAAAAAGAGACGCAAACCGTTCCAATGTAAAGTATACGTTATGTATACAGGGTGGAACACTTGAAAGGGACATCGAAATATTTCCTCCGATTGTACACTTGTAAGAAATTTGTTTAGAGTATTGTTTCAAACATCATTTTTTATCAAAATAATGTAACGAGAGGTTTCCTTCTATAATTTGTACAAAGGTAAGAAGTGCCAACGTATAGATATCCAAGTGGAAGTAGACGACAGTCGAATTTCAGATGACTGTCACTGCCCAGATCCAGCATCCTCCGGTAACGTCATTAGCGTGACCAATTGATGTTCACCAGTCGTGGTTGTAGCGAGTGAAACTACTTAAAGAAAAAAATAAACAATTCTCCTCGGTCGATTTTTCCCGGAAGTAAAGTCAAGGATTTTACAAGAGCTCGGTAGCTTAGAATTGATTCCATTCTAGAAGAGTTCGTGGCTTCGTTTGTATATTCGAGCTGCATGCCAAACCGATCCAATAAAGAACCCTTTGCGGTTGAATGTCGCCGCAATGGCGACTTCGAGCTTCGATATTTAAAATCGAAAATCGCAAGTGAATAATTCAATTATTCAATCAACGAGAGACTATCATGTAGTTTTTCTCTTTCAGTATCTAAGGCTTCAATGCATAATTCAATATTTCGTGAAAAGAAATATTAGACATTTCAAACAGTCTCGTCCGCGGACGGTTAATAGAACATTGTCGACCGTTAGGAGTTAATGAACAAAGATCCACGAACGACGGAGGTATATTTAAATGGTTCTCATTCGAGCGTTCCACCCGGTGCATCATCGGCAATTAAATCGTCTTCATCGAAAGTATTAAAATCATCACAGACAGGATTAATGGAAACAACGAAAACGAAGGATATCACCGTGGAATGTATAGGCCAGAGGCAGCACGCGACGATCGTGATTATCAGATTCCTTAGAAGCTCTCGTCGATCCCTCGGTCGAAATTGAACACCTCGAAGTCGTCGTCCGGTGCGTCCGGGATGTTAGGTGCGACTGGCATTTCGGGTCGCAGTGCTACGCAGTCCCGAGGCGAGCACTCGACGCGGCCCTCGGAACCGCAGCTACACTCGATGCAGTTCCCGGTCGAGTGCGGCAGCACTTCGCCCTCCCGGTATTCCCTGCCTGTAAATCAAGCATTTCACGACCATCCGGACAAAATTATTCGCGTACCGTGTGCCCGTGGAAAATAATAGACGCGATTAAAAAGGGATGCAGCGATAAGTACATTCGAAGTCAGCCGAGTGTCCCTTGGACATGATACAGCGGACAAAGGCTTTTTCAAGACTAGAACTACCAACACTGTCCCAATGACCCACATTGTGTGCTTTTTTTTACTTTGCGATCACTGAAACCGTAGAAGCATTTTCGTCGATGTATTGTTGAATAAATTCATTTCCTCATGCAGACGCAGTAAATGTAAGAATTTCGAAATACATGCTGGTCTCATCGATTTTCACTGATTTCTCCTCACATTTCTACTTGACACCTCCCACCAATTTATCCTGGCTTTTCCTATCTGCCCTTCTTACCTCTTCGTGCCAATTGTACCTGGCTTTTACCGTGGCACCACCTACCAAGTCGTTGCAACTCCTCCCACAAGTTCCGAGTTCGCTTGTTACAACTATACAAGTACACATTGCTTACTTCTGCATTGCAGACACAAAATGAAGTAGACAAATGATGCTTTTTATATTGAGTTGATACATAAAAAATGTTTGTCGTAGATGAACAATGCGAAATTGTGTTTGAGAGAGTAATTTCAACTTGTGGAGCACAACTGTTTGATCGTGAACAGGTCATACGCTACAATAGTAGACATATTGATCGATTAACCCTTATGTCAGCAACCGAAATGTCTGTTCAAACTTTAGTTTTATTTTAATTTATCATTGCATTTTGTCATTTAATTTATTATTATTACTATTACTATTACTGTTGTTGTTGTCTTTGTTGTTGTTATGTTTTCTATTAATAGAGCACAAATCGATGTAAAAATGAAAGAAGTAAATGAAAATAGAAACTGGCTACTCGGGTACTTAATTGCTAAAATAAGAGTTTGAAGTATTTTATTTGTATAATACAAAATTTGGATTTGTTAAGCAAAACGAAATTCATTTTCGTATCAATCCAACACACTTGTTCCGGTGTAATTCTTATCGATGCATCCGGGTGAAAGATAAATAGGAAGCCGCGATCCTCCCGGATAAATTATCCAAATATTTCGGCGGGATTGCAACGAGTTTAATCACGAAGACCAGCAACACACTATGCCGTTGTTAATTGTTCAGCTGACCAATTAAAATTTCTGGTCGGTGGTTATCGATCCGGAACACGAACATGGTACACTTTAGCAGTGAACCGCCACGCAACAAACAACGGTATCACCGTGTCACTTGTGCTCCTGATGAAGCTAGCTAGCATGTTAACGGGACGTTCGGAAAATGATTTCGAAGGGCCAGCGTTTACATCTACAAGTCGTGACGAACTATAAGCACCTATGTACTATACGTATCTCACGTTACATAGCTCCATCGGTCACCAAGCTGAAAGTGCACAAGATCCAAGCGGACTCTTCCATTCACAATGCTCGGGTCGCCGCTATCGTTTTCTACCAGAAGTGTTCGAAGTTTCCAGGTGTACGCTGTGTCCATTCGGAATTATTTCTCGATGTTTCGCTGGCATTACAGCTGGCATTATCAGAGGTCCGAGGACTCGCTGATAATGAACACTATGTTGAGCTAAATAGTAGTTTCTTAGCTGGCAAATTTTAGCTATTTCTACTAGCTAAGCGTCAGGAGATCATTCCTAATGGACAAGGCTTACACCAGGAAACTCTGAACACTCGTCATAGTGTTCCTGACGTTATTCTCAAATAAATTTTCTATCGTTACGTCTCACTTCATCACATTCAGTCACGCTTCCGTTCTTCATTATTGCTCCAGGCTAATAATGACCATGCGTCGGAAGTCGAGGCGACCCAAGCATCGCGAGTGAAAGTGTCCCCTTGCTACTGTGCACTTTTAGCTCGGTAGTTGATGGACTAACGTGATAGGGCGTACAGTACACGCGGTATCGAACGTTGAAAGGTCCTGAATATCCGATATTAGAAGATGCATCGTGGGCATCGACGTGATTAATATCGAACGAGACCCGCGAACAAATTTAGAGGATGATCCGATACAGCTATGAGGACAGTGTGTATCACTTTGAAAGCAAATTGCCGGTGCAATTCGAAAAGTTTCGGGAGAAACGGCCGTTGGAAATTGAAAACCGAGTGATATATTACCCATCACGAGGCACGTAGTCGGCGCGGGCTGCGAAGTAGTCGAGTACGTCCCGTTAATCTCCGCGTATCCCTGCTGCTCCGGATCACCGAAAGCTTCCTCCGAGCTGTCGTCGGCGTCCGTGCTCTCCTCCAGCGACGGCGTGTAATTACTTTCTATCGTTGTCGACGGGAGGAGCGAGGGGCCGCCGGCGGATGGATCGGTGCTCGGACTGTAATTCTGCCACCAACAATATACCTCCCCGGCGACACAGAGGCAATGAGAATTCGCGTCGTAGGACGGTATCTGGAACAGAGGCAAGGAATTCGTGAACGTTACCTAGGCGAACGGATTTTCTCTTGTTCCTCCCCACTTATTCGCCTGTTCAATAATTATATTACCGTTGATTGGAAGATTCTGTCGTTAGATCTTACCTGTGAGGTGAATGGTACTCGTAACTAACCGGTTAAGGGTAGAATCTTTTGACGCGGCATTAAAATCGAATCGTTCAGTATTTCTTCTTTGGAAAATCATTAACTATAAATGTTTAATATTTTACAAAGATTACAATTAAAATTGTTTTTATGATAATAACGGTAAAAAATTGTGAAACTTAAATAAATTAAGGCAACATTATTCGTCTAGAGAGATTTGTAAGAATAAGAAAGACGAGATGAAAGAAATAAAATTCCAAAGCATTTATAAAAAGACTGTGTATGAGGAGGAACAAAAGAAAAAATCATAACTAATATTAAAACATTTCATAACAAACAAATTATAGCGCTAACACAATATTTTCGCTGAAGAATCAACAAGCTCTCCAAATAAAGTAGCCACCTAATTACTAAAGCATACAGAAACTGCATGTCTTGTAAATTTTACACAAATATACAGTTGCAATATCATAGCTAATAAACGGGTCTTGTTAAGATGGTAGTGAACATATAAACATAATAGTAATATAAGGTGTGTAACATAATAGTTAAATAATTAAATCGCTTTTAGAGAACGATGTAATTAAAATGATGTACCGTGCAATGTTTTTAGAGTTTAAAATGGATATAAATGTACAACACAAAAAATTAGATCACGGTAGTAAAACACGAACACGCGATTTCAGATGAATATTTACTATCTGGGCTGAAAAACGTGAATGATATTTATTTACACGCGATTATTTCAATATTGACGAATTTAAAAAGTTTGTTTAGCAACAAATTCAGTGGCTATATCACCACTTGTGATCATTTTTACGATCTCGAGTTTTTCCTTCGAAATTTTTAGGTAACCAAAACAAAAGAATTGCATTGAGACATTTTTAAATTTACCTATAAATTAAAATGAGACATATGGAATAATTACGATATTACGAACAAATATGGCAAAAATAAATAAAATGTGATATTATCTCATTCGAAATAGAAAGTACTGTTGTAACTACTTAATACAATAAATACGAGTAACTATAGAAAGTATATATGTATGTATGTTATTAGAGAAAATGCAGTGTCTACAGACCAACATACAAAATGTAATATATAAATTGAAACAATTGATCATATCATTTGACTATGCAAGTTCATAGTTACAATAAAATATATAAATAATCACGGCAATATTGGAAAAGTGATACTTTACACGTCAGTACACTTGATTGCCAATCATAGAAAACAACGCACAAAATCTACTGAAACAATCCAATATTAATCGAGAAAGCAATCATACCGGACAGACTAAACATCATTCTACATAATCGGTAAAACAAATAGAACCATGTATTTCCTTGACACAGTTTGCTATACCAACAATAAACAATGTTAAAACAATGATTGGAATATAAAATAACTGTATTGCTTCCATTTATTCGAGGAGACTACTAAGGAAAATATATTTATCTGAACGGTCGGACCTTTTACAAGAGTATATTTTAAATTTGAATTTCTTAAATGAGTTGTCGTATTTTTACTACTGTAAACATTAAAGTAAAAAGAACGAGAAATTCATAACTATATTATGTAGCTGTACAGTTATATAATTACATAAATAATGTCATAAATAATGTCATAGTGTAAATGAGTAAAGTGCCATATTAAATTATAATTAAAATAAATATTATCCATACAAGTTCCAAAGTGAAAATTAAAAGCATTTTCGACTGCAAAGGGTTAATTTGGATGTGCATGTTTACTTTATACTGGTAGGTTACTAATATAATAATGCAAACATTAGAGGATTATCAAATGATTATGGGCAACCAACAACCAGGAATATTGAAACAACCACATAAATTAGATTTAGATTCAATACATCTTTAGATTATATAAATATCACTTAATTCTTCCAAGTCCGAATTGAATATTATTTTTCTATTATTAATCGTAATGTTTCAAAGTAAATGTAGACGTACAGTAAGTGTAAAATTTTACTCTTTTTATAATCAGTCAAGAAGAATGAAATGTCTCTGTTGAGCGCAATTGGAAAAGAAACCATAGGGCAAGGGGTTAAACCTTCATTTATCTCGTGACACGCGAAGAATAAGGTGAAACTGTGCTTCAAGATTATCTATCAATTCAAAATCTTGATTGTACTTCCGCGGGATTTGCAAGCGTAATCCTTCTTCCACGCGAGACCATTTCATCATTTTTTCCTTCTCCCATTCTTTCCCCTGTTTTCAACCTCCCTGCTGTCTTGTCAAATCGATTACGGGGCGCTCCACACGTGGCCATCGCGCGCCAAATATTTGTCGAATTCGATGCGAAAACAAGTTACACGAAAATGTTATCGAATTTATCAGATGTATTTCCGTTGTGCAACAATCGAAAGCAAATAATACTGGCACAGTTCCACAGATTCGAGATAAGTCCACTCAGGAATTGTACGAATCGTATTAAATCTCGCATCGCCAAGGGGTTGAGAATACACTGTCTCCAGCGTATCATATTTCATATATATTTTCTTTTCTAATCAATCCGAGTGAAATTCTGAAAAAATTAACATATTCGCACTGAAAAGCTTTTTCGCCTGATATGTTCAGGCGTAGAAACATGGGTTTCTAATGAAATCTTAATGGATTGTGACTAACGTAAATACAAATAGTACACGAATGAAAGGAAAGGGATTATTATATTTCAACATTTCATTTATAATTACGTTATATAAACTTTAATATTGGATATCAAACTGTATAATTTTGCTACGTCGAAGCAAATGAACATCCGTAACACAAAAATATTTTCAGTTCGAAATATTGATTATTTGTTTGTTTATTAATTAATCGCATTTTAAATTATATGAATAATACTAAGGAACCTTTGCTCAGTAAAAAAAGTTAACACATTGCGTACTGGTAACGAGAAATCTCGTTTTTATATAAAGACACTTAGCTATGCAACTTCGCTAATTACCACAGCATTGAAAAAAATATAAAATTTCATTCGAATTGATTATCTATTTAAAATATATTACATAACAATATGATATCTGAGTTTTTCTATGTATAGCGATATAAGTTGACCTCAGTGAAAATTGCCGTCCGCACAATTCAGTTTTCTGAAAATTAGCCGGTACGCAATGTGTTAGAATGATTATTCATTTCGTTATAATATATTCTAATTTTACAACCAGTGCAAATATGCTACTCGTATCGAATATAATAATTGTCATCAGTTAAAAATAAATAAGCACATAGATTCGTATAAAAATAAATTCGTATAAAAAATTGGTTGAAGTTATGGCAAAAAATGTGGAACGCTTCACGATTTTGCGTGTCATCCTTGCGCAGGGGCCATGCTAATCTTCTCTGTATCGTTCCAATTTTAGTATATGTACTGCCGAAGCAAGTACGTTAGACGTTTTTCGCAGGATATATATATACTTATAGAAAGCAGACTAAGTACTAGCGAGAAAGTAAATGTCCTGGAAGCCATCTAGTGGCGCGTCAAGGAAACTTAAAGGGTGATTCTCGTGTAACAGGTCCAAATAATCGATTTCTACTTTTCTGCATATCTCGATAGTACAACAGTTTAAAAACATGTTCTTAAAATCTGTTAACCGTATTTCAGAAAATAATGAAGTTAGAAGATCTGATGATAATGCGAGTATTATAGTGATAGTGTCCAAATTGACAAAAGTGAACATATTGCACATATTAAAAAACGATCAAGCATTTCACTCGGAAATATTAGACGAAAACGAAACTCAGAGTAACTTAAATCGAATTAAATTATTAAAATTAAAAATTTTCACTGTACCTGAGTATGTACTTGGAAACTTCATGTATGTTTTCCACGAAATTATATATTTTAAAGTGTCGAGCATAATAACTTGGTAGCTAATTGACTAATCAAGTTCAAATATAGATTTTTTTATTTCTAATATATTCCTTTACGGATTGTACTTTTGATTTTTATTTTATTTTCAATTTATTACATTGTGTTAATTCGTATAGATCAAACTTATCGACTGAAAAAACTTGCTTTTCGTATCAGAGGCGTAAAACTTGTCTAACTTATTGTAATTTTTGTCAAAAGTTAATATAATTTTAGAATAAATTATCTAAATTCAAGAAACTTTTTCATTCTTCTCGATTCTTATTATACAATTATTATTATAATTACTAATTATTAACTGCTTCACTACCAAAGAGGATAACATCAATTATATGTAATTTTATTTAATAATGATAATTATCTGAATAAAAAGAATTGTTCTAGTTTCTGAACGTGTATAACTGTAAAATAACAAACTTTAATACATAATATTTGAAAAAATTATATTGAGAAATGCTACAAATCCATACGTTACTTCTGACACTATGAAACTTCGACGATAAGATTCAATACGACTTAATATTGAACATCTTCAGTAAACTTTATATTAACCCCTTGCCTTACGATTTATTTCGTTTCGCACATTTATGCTTACGATATTTCATTTTCTCGCCACTCTGTGGTCGCAATTACTACAAAGAAAACCAAAGTATTACACGGTTAATTAACTTTCTGTACGAAAATAAGGAAATTATGTTGCTTATGATATGGAAAGATTTATAAAATAAATTACAAAACCAACTTTCGCACGGAGGACAAGCACAATTGAGACTCGTCATTTTCACTAACTGAGTTAACACGTTTGATCGGAAATATTTCGCATGTATCGCGATGGTTAACAACAGAAAAAACACAACATATAGGCAATAGACCAGGAAACGACTGCAACTGTTGCTTACGTACCGTCTGACTATGGGAATACGCGTTTCCGTTGACGACGCATTTTTTCGGGAACGTCTGTTCCGTCGTGATTTCGTCGAATTCGCTCCCTTGGACCGCGATATCGACCTCGCCGAGCAGAATCTGGCCCTCCGTCGTTCTTGCTGGAACTAAAATGAAATTCAACGTTGCAGAGAATCTGTATAATATACGGTTGTTTCTGAAGCTTCCGAACGATACGGTGATTCGAACTGTACGCAGTTTCATGTATTTGTAGTTTCTTATATTCCTTTTATTTTTAAAAAGATAGACAAAATTGTTTTTGATCCAAAACATATTCTCCTTTATTATCCATAAATTGTCTATCTATACATTATATTTTAAAAACGGTCTTGTTTATCTTTATTTTTAAAAATAATAAAAAAGACGATCGATATACATCGATAGAGAGTTTAATAATCTAGATGAATTAATGGAAAATATTGCTGTAAAAAGTACGTTCTATTCTTTTGTTTGATTATTATTAATTTGTATATCATCTTTTTTGATATATAGCTCAACGAAAGTTTTCGAATGATTTAACCTCTTGCCTTACGATTCCTTTCGCAGCTATCTTCTTTAAAGATGTAATATTATTGACAATTAGGAAGAAACAAAATATCTATGGTCATTTTTGTAAATTAATCTATTATATATGAAATATATATTATGAAATATAAAAATATTAAACGACAAATAATTGAAAAAAATATATAAATAATTTAGGACATCCTTTCTTGTTCAGGCCACTTTTTGAAAAAAATTCCAGGCTGAAAGTTTGTGGAGTACACGTGCACTTGGCCGGGTCGATTGAATGCGGGCGGTCTAACCGACAGAGCGTTTTTCAGTACGGACACATTTTTCCGTTTTGAACTCTGTTTTCGAGAAAGAATCAAAATCAAAAAGTGTCTAGCACACCTGTATTTGGCTAACTGTAGATAGAACGAATTTCAATTCTGTATATCCATGAATACGCAGTAAAAAAAGAACAAAAAAATTTACTAGAAGTATTGGAGAGCCAGATGTTGTTTGTTTGTTGAAGAACAAGTTAAATAAAATATTTCACAATTAACATGGACATCGATATCACTGTTCTTAAATCAACATTTAAACACTGAGAACGTTTTTGTAAAATAATTTTATTTGATTTGATGCGAGCTGCATGAACATCACTTGCTGTTAATATCAATTCCATTGATTAAATTAGTGAAATATTAATTTGCTATTTTTAAAAACAACGTACAATCTGGCTTATTGATTTATAACCATTTGTATTTGTGAATTACGTTGGTAATTGATTGCCTCAGCGAACATTCAACTGTTTCAGTGATGTCGCGGTGAAGAAACCAGCTTCATATTGTAATGTAATTGAAATCAGATCTTAATTCATTGCTAACGAGAAAATCGCACAAACTATTTCTAGTAGGTAGTAGTAAACAGATGTAGGGATCATTGAAATGACCGAAAATAAAAGAGGAAAGTAAGAAATGAGAACGATTCAGAGGTCTAACTTTAGTTGTACGATCTATTTTCCCCCGATTCGAGGATGAGCTGACCATGGCGAAGTGTTCTTTTTCTGCAGCGGAATATATACGAATGAATGCATAACTAATACATAAATTAGAACTTATTCAGATGCGCGTATTAGGTAGTCCACCCTGTATATGCAAACTAACTTTGGAGTATAGCTGTCATATAAAGGGTGAGTCGCGAGACACAGAACACCTAAATATTTCTGTTGGGATTGAGGATAAAAGAGAATGCCAAATAGTAACGTTACACTGTTCAAAGAGGTAAATGTAAAGATGTAAACTGGCCTACATAAAATATGGACAAAAATATATTTGAAATATCCTCTAAAATACTGAATACTTTGGTACATTTGTTTTAGTACAGTTGAAATAAAGTATTTCAAATGGGACACGAAACTCCAATGAATAAAGTGTTTTTATTTTATTGGTTTTCAATGTAAAAGTATATATTCCGATCTTGTATCTCGAATGTACGTTAAAAATATTTTTTTATAGTTGAAATCAATGGAGGAAAAATGATGTAACACAAAAAATAACAATGCGTGGTAATGTATGTAACAGCGTACATGGCTAGTCCTTTATAGTCACGGAATCAATTCAATGCATTTGAATAGAAATACAGATTTCAAAATAAAATCTTACTACTTGCAGTGGCCTTGAAATAAAACAATATTATTAAATAAATAATAATATCAAATAATATTAAACAATATTATTTCAATATCTTCTAGTAAAATATAATCATTATTAGAAATAATAACAAGATAGAAAATAATAATAGAATAATAATACAATAGTAATAAAATAATAGTAAAATAATAATAAAATAATTACATTCTTCAAAGTTACTCTCGTCTAATGAAAAGTTTCTGACTTTAAGGTATTTTTGAAATCAACGTATCCTGTATTGTTGTACTTGCTTCGGCATTTGCAGAGTCCCTGCACCGTACCACTATAGAAAAGTGCAATCTTTCTTTTTAATATTTCCTCCCAGCCCCAATCTGAACAGAGATATTTAGGTGTTCTGTTTCTCATGACTCACTCTGTACAGCGAATGCAGCTGCCGGCAGCTAGAAGCCTAATTAAAAATGCTTCCGTCACGAGCCCGCGAAGACAAAAGGAACTTACGAATTACAACGGAGGATCCTCGTCCACGCGTCGTTTGGCCTAGACAAAAAGAGGCGAGAAATGAGAAAGAAAAAAAATATTAGAAAATATCGTAGCACCTGGCTGCGGTCTCGCCGGAAACTGGGAAACAACACGTTCTAACAAATTCGCAGATGAACGATTCCGGTGCACACGTGCTCGATCTTTTTTCTTTCGTTTACAAATTACATTTCAGTGTTACCATTCTTGTTCTATTCTGATTTAACCCTTTAGTAGCTTGTAATGACAACAATGTTTGCAAAAATAATGCTGAAGTGCATTCTTTTGTTGCGTCTCCGGTTTTCTGACTTCAGTCGCTACTTCTGTGTAACTGTGAATAAATAATTTAGTAAATAATCTACTTATCAACGTTAATTCATTTCAATGTTGTAAACTAGCTGTGTTAAAGGAGGTTTGACATATCGTCATAAGACACAATGAGTATTTACTTTTTATTTTTTGTATTAAATTCGATTTTAGCTGGGGTTGGCATTTTGCGGACATTTCACATAATAGTTATTTGAAGCATGCTTCAAATGCAATTTTTTCTATTTTGATGAGTTTTCGTAAATAGATTAACACGTTTTTGTGAAGAACGATCTGCTGCGTTGATTGACGCAGAAAATCACATGATTGTGTTTGAAAAGGTAGTAGTGATCTTCATATCTCCTAGAGACAAAAAAAGGGTACCGAATTATCGTTCTTCGAAAACACAAAAAATTGTACTGAAGAAATTTTAAAAATAATAAATAAATAAATAAGCAATGAACAGTTCTGGAGATATTTACATTTATACATTAAAATAGGACACTCTGTATAAATAATTAAAATTAGATCCAAAATTTAATATAGAATTCCTTCGTGAAGCTTACGTTGATACGATAAAAATTCTATTATGCGTCAAAATGGCAATCCATCAACTAAGAGTTAATACATTTATTTACTTGAAAGTCGCCTGCTTTTATATTTCTGTTTTGTTCAGAAATGTTGAGTGCCGCTTATTGTGTACCCCTTGCTTTACGCTTTCTTTCGCAACAACGCCCACAAGCGCTACTTTATCATTGTTAGGTTCCAACAAGGAAAAGGAATATTGTGTCCATTGTAAATCTTTATTTATCCTAAAGGTTAAATGATGGTGACTAGTCAGCGAATTTCTGTGCGTTCATCGGAAATTTGCACGGAGATACACAAATAATGTATATATTTGTATAAAATATCCAAAGTGTAGTGCTTTTTATAACTTCTTTTACAAATAACAATTTTCTATCGTAATTCTATATCTATAATTACGTACTGAGAGATGTGCATTAAAATCCTCAGTTTAATAATTACGAAGAAATTATATTTGCGTTCATAAAATTCAGAAATGCCCAATCGCACCAATATGATAAAGCTAGGGGTTAACGAAGCATGAAACTGTGATCGACGTTTCACCAAACACCTCGGCTGAGAACAAAAAAACAGAAAGCATTGTGCTTTCAGTTCGTTGTTCGCTGACACCGCGTTTGACACATCGTTTGACACCGCCGAGACATGTAAATAACTTTCACCCTCAGGCATTAAATCACATTTTTCGATTGTAAAAATCGAAACGGTAGAAAACTTACGAAACAATCTGATATTTGAAAACATGTTGTGCTGCAAGAAAGTAGAATAATTTCTAAAAAAATTGTTTCGAATTATTTCTCAACAGTGGAAACGATTTTAAAGAAGTATTCACCTTTTTCAAAAACAGGATATGGTAATTTTTAAATTTAATGAAAATAAAGTAGTGAGAGTGAACTACTATCTGCCATCAACAATAAATTTCTCATGAATTCACAGATGTTCATGGAAACACAGATCTTCGTAAACTAAGTTAGGAAACGTTGAACGAAACTTTCCGAATATTACACAGTCTGCTGAGAGTTAAATTTTATTGTAAATAAAACGATAAATGATTATACTGATTTCCATATAACTGTGTTCTGAATAAAATCGTTCAATCGCGCATGATCCATTTCCACCTTAATATTCCATATTTTTGTATTATTTCTCTTTTTAAATAAATAAATCAATCAATCTTATTCACCATATCATATTATCCCATTCAACGTAGAAATATGAGCTATATCGTGCCCGAGTTCGATGAATCAGCTCGCATACTCAGGCGAGATATGAATCTACCGGTGAACACGGCGAAGGATGAAGGCCAGCGAAAAGAGTCTGACTCTGCGCGCGGTTCTATCACTGCCTGAATAGAGGAGGGTTACCTATATCACGCGTGTCTTTTAAGTTGTACCTCATTAATTTTTTTGGGATTAACGAGTACAAACGACATCGATCGATAAAAATAAATGAGCAACGTAAAATAGGAACAAAGAGTTTTCAAAATGCATCCTATTTTATATTTTACATAAAGCAAATGAAATTGTAGATATTGTTATTTAATGTTATAAGCTACGGCATTATAT